AATGCAGCGAGTACGAGTCACATAATCATTGAGTTTTTCTTGTAGAGCAATGAAGACGTACAAAACGTCTGCGCATCAGAAATGGACATCAGTGCAGAGCTGGAACAAATGCTGATGCAGATGGACCCGGGAGAGCTAGATCCCTCTCTGGAGTTCATCATGAGTGAGTTGCTGAAGGACCCGTCCAGCCTTATGGTCTCTGATGGACCAGAGTGTCCCCCTCAGCCAGGAGACAGCCACAGCACAGCAGCTTCTCTTTTGTTTGAAGACGAAGGTCCACTGAGAGCTGCTTACACCAGTGCACATTCAGCTCAGCTGTACAGCCAGGCAGGGCCAGTAAGCCAGGGACAGGTAGGACACTGAGTAAAGACGAGGAACACATGCCATCATGGTTTATATTTACCAGTGTTTGGTACTGCAGGCCAAAGCAAGACAAGAGAAAAGTCACACACAATCTTTATCCTTAGTTTTAAATCAGTGTGTCTTTCTTGTAGAGCAATAGAGACGCACAATGCGTCTCCATGTCCGAAGCGGATCTCAGTCCAGAGCTGGAGCAGTTGCTGTTGCATGTGGAAGCAGGAGAGCTGGATCCCGCTCCACACCCTAATGGACCAGAGGGTCCCCCTCAGCCCATAGGCAGCCACAAGCCAGGGTCTGAGGGGTCCATCCCCCTAGCAGCAGCTTCTCCTGTGTCTATACAGGAAGCTCCACTAAGAGCTGCTCACAACAGCACACAGCCAGCTCAGCTGTACAGCCAGGCAGGGACAGTCATCCAGGGACAGGTAGGACACTGAGTAGAGACGAGGAACACATGTCGTCATGGTTTATATTTACCAGTGTTTGGTGCTGCAGGCCAAAGAAAGACACGAGAAATGACTGATATGAATCCAAACTCGCTGACTCGTCACATTCCATGTATTCTGTTGTACGACAGCACTGTGAATCTCTGCTCATCAGAAACTGAAGTGCTGTGCTGAGTGTGTGTATTCCTGCTGCTTCACCTTCCCTCTTCCTCCACAGGAGCTGCTGTATCACTGTCCTGTGACCAGCGTGTGCACTGGTCCTGTTGCTGCTCCTCAGCTGGACCCAGTAAGAGCTCTGGTTAAGCACACACACTCTGAACGTCTCCACTGTTGGGTTGGAGCAGCTTTAATGGTATCGCTGTAGGAGAACAGAGCACGGCTACACATCTGTAGTGCAGATTTTTAACTAGAAAGCCAGCTTTAGAAGTACAATTCAATTGGGAACCCATTTAAAGCTGCATGAGGACATTCATTGGTCCCATGGTCACCCAGCCCTCACATCAATACAAACTCCTGAACTTTGTGACCCTCAGTGGAAACCTTCAGACACATTACAACTATTCAGCTGATAGTCATGGATGCTCCGCATGTTTACATTTCAATTATTAAAAGAGCAGATCAGTCGGCCCACCTGTTGGACAGATGACAGCGCTGCAACTCGTCTAATCAACTGTTGTGTGTTCATTTGTTTCCCCAGAACGTTCCTGTGATCTGCCTCCCGGCCAACATGACCATAGACCTGCGACCAGTCGGGTTCCTGTAAGTAAAGAAACACAAAGTGCTGAGCCTCTGTGTGTTCACACTCTCTTTCTATGATCTGACATGTGTATGTGTCTCTCTGTGATCTGTGTAGGAATGGACAGGTGTTGTATGGGCTCAGCCCTCCTGCTCCTGCAGTCAGTCCCTCCAAGTCACGGTGAGTTTGATCTGCTTTTGGACAAAGTCTGGTTTTCCTAACTGGAGCTGACTCATGTGTAGCAGTGGCTCAGGTGTCATTTGTTCAGCCACACACTGGCATGAATGTGATTGTAATCAGCATCTTTCAGTGAGAGTTTAACCAAACAGCTCAGCTAAAGATGCCTTTTAAGTTTG